GGAGCCGCTGGGGTGGGGAGGGCCGAGCCTCCGTTCTCCAGTGGGCCCGGGACTGGCGGCCTCACCCCAAGCGAGGAGCCGGTCGGGCCGCCGCGGGGTTGGGTTTGGGATTAACCCACGGAAGGGCCGAGCGGCGAGGGTGGCAGCGACCCGAGGCTCCGGATTGCCCAAGGGTGGAGTTTGACGTTTGGTGTGGGGAAGCTTTGCCAAGCAGCCCCGGCTTCCGCGGGTGGCGTTTGGGTGACATTTCACCCAAAAGGGGAGGACCGGGAGACCGAGAGATCCCTTTCCAACTCCATGGAGGAACTTTAGTGACAGCATTAGACGAGCTTGGGGGTAGGGGAGGATAGCTGAAGGAGTGAACTTGGGAAGAAATGGACAAACGAATAGGCAAGCTGTGGAGTGAAGTTTGATAGAGGTTAAATGTAGAGAGCTTGCTTACAAGGTCAAGGCCCTTTCCTGGAGATAGGGTTTGGATGACTTAGGGAGCCGGTTAAAGACCTAGAACACAGGTAACCAGAGTTAGGACTTGGAATCTGGTGATAGGAAGTGACAGACAGCAAAGTTGGGGTGATGGAATCAGAGCACTCTGTACCCTGGGGTGCACAAGGGGATGGAGGAATTAGGACTGTGGGAGAGGTGTAGTATGGGGAAAACCAAGAGCCTGTTGGAGTCTGGAGAACTCCTGGCCTGACAGGCAGCCCCTCACTGGTTCTTTGTGCCTCTCCAGCTCGGTAGCACAGCAGGCAAGGCAGGTGCCATGGCCTTGATTGAAGGGGTGGGTGATGAGGTGACTGTCCTTTTTGCGGTGCTTGCCTGCCTCCTGGTGCTGGCCCTTGCTTGGGTCTCAACACACACCACTGAGACCACCACGGACCCCCTGCCCCAGACATCAGGGACTCCAACAGCAGCCCAGCCCAGCGAAGCCATGGCAGCCACTGACAGCATCCGAGGGGAGGCTCCAGGGGCAGAGACTCCCAGCCTGAGACACAGAAGTTCAGCTGCACAGCCAGAGCCTGGCACAGGGGTTACAGCAACGCTGCCACCTCCGGACTCCCCACAGGAGCCCCTAGTGCTAAGGCTGAAATTCCTCAATGACTCAGAGCAGGTGGCCAGGGCCTGGCCCCACGACACCATTGGCACCTTGAAAAGGTAAGCCGGGAAAAGGGTAGGATGGAAATGCAAAATAGGGGGGAGGAGGGGAAAGGAGTGGGTGTGCTTGCAGAAGGCCCCAGAGATGAGGAGCCCTCTGTGGGTCCCCAAATCACACTGTACTGTTTTCCCCTGTGGCAGACTGCCCCCCAGAGGCCACAGCCTGGGTGGGGTGTGGAGGGCAGGGTCGAGGGGTGGGAGCCTAGCTCTGGAAAGGGGACTAGGATTGCCTGAGGCCTGCTCTCTTACCCAGGTCCCTCTCTCCTCAGGACCCAGTTTCCCGGCCGGGAGCAGCAGGTGCGCCTCATCTACCAAGGCCAGCTGTTAGGAGACGACAGCCAGACGCTGGGCAGCCTTCACCTCCCTCCCAACTGTGTTCTCCACTGCCACGTGTCCACCAGAGTCGGCCCCCCACATCCCCCCTGCCCACCGGGGTCAGAACCAGGCCCCTCCGGGCTGGAAATTGGCAGCCTACTGCTGCCCCTGCTGCTGCTGCTGCTGCTTCTACTCTGGTACTGCCAGATCCAGTACCGACCCTTCTTTCCCCTGACCGCCACCCTGGGCCTGGCCAGCTTCACCCTGCTGCTCAGTCTCCTGGCCTTTGCCATGTACCGCCCGTAGCGCCTCCACGGGCTCTTGGCAATGCAACCTGCCCTCCTGGACCTCATTCTCCAAGGCGAGGTGGGAGCTGCTGTCTGCCCCGGCCAGCCTCCCCAGCTTGCTTCTTCCCACTACCCTGGAGCCCAGCCCTGCGTCGCAGAGGACTCCGGGGGCTGGGGGAGGCTCCTCCCTGCGATCTTCACGGCTCTGGGCCACCCCCGGGAGCTGCTGGCACTCAGCCCTCACTCACAGTGGGCTCCTCCACATCGGGCACCTGCTGTCGCTGCCTTGGCCCTGGGCAGAGCCAGGCCACCCCCCTGGGCCCGCCTTAGTGTCCTGCCGGAGGACCTAGCCACCTCTGGTCCCTGAGAGGCTGATTTCGGGACCCAGATCGGGAGGCTGGTGAAAGGGAGCTGGGAGGGACAGAGGTGTTGTCTGGAACATGTGCAGATTAAAGTAACTGTGAAGTTTTCACTCTTGGTGTGCGTCTGTGTGGACTCACGCAGCGGGAAGGGAGCGGAGGCAGGGCCTGGCTGGGCTTGGGTTGGTCCGGTGCCGCCAGCGAGGTGGGGGCTGACCTCGCTCGCCCCCGAGCTTGGGTCCCGCGGCTTTCAGCCTTGGGCTCCTCGGCCCCGCCCCCATCTTGATCCCGCCCTCTTGCCGCGCGCGCACTTCCCGGAAGCGGGGGGCGGGACCGAGGCCCCCGCTCGCAGCGCCTGCTGGGAGCCACGTCTCCTCCGCTGGCTGCGCGCTGCGCGCTGCGCGGTGACTGGCGTCCAGCGGCGGTCCGCGGGCTGCTGGGAAGATGGCGGACTCGGTGGTCCGCCGATGAGGAGACCGCGGGGAGAGCCCGGCTCCCGGGCCCCGAGACCGACTGAGGGAGCGATCTGCGCGGGGCCCGGGGAGTCATGTAGGGAGGGTGGCGTCTGGCGGGGGAAGGGGGAGGCGGGCCGCGGGAGGGCGGCGGGCGCGGG